TATGATTTTGCTAAATTAAAGATAAGTACTTTCTTTTATACGTTTCTTTATTTTTTTTGTTAATAATGTACATTAATTTATGTTCATCTATTTCCTTTCTCCATTATAAAGTACAAATTTCCCTTATTCTAACAAATAATATTTTTTAAAAAAAATTCAAGGCCCGTGAGACCTCACCCTTTTACCTCTAGGATCCCCTACTTCGATGTACTGGCTCCGCCCCCACATGCAGGTATCTCTTCCCCTATTTTACCTCTTCTGGGTAATTTTTTCAAAATAGCCAAGCTGATTGATCGATGGGACTGACCACTTTTTACGTTCTTAGTTTAGGGGTGTTGGATTTTATAGTTTTGATTGCAATTTTTGCCTTCGATTCTGCAATATTATTGAATGTGGATGAATCTTCACGAGGAAAAGAGATCCTCGACTCGTGCCATTTCAAGAAATTGTTGTGTAACACCTTCAATGCGACAATGCGTGAGTTTTGATTAGATTACAAATGGTCCGATGATCGGAATGGAAGCGTTACTTTCTTGAATTCGCGATGAATTTTCAGTCAGTTGAAGAAACAAAAATGAATTTTAAATATTTATTACTCTTAAATGTTAATTTATCAAATTTGGTGGTAGATGTGCAGAGACCTATTTGGCTAACTGCGAATAGGCCATAACCTACAAAACTATTTAGTTGGGTGTTGCGTGACAGATAGGGCAAAATCAACAACTATGACTGTGTAACAATTTCAACCATTAAATTTCACTATGATATAAAAAAAAATTAATAATAATAAATTAAAAGTATAGTCTATTTTTTTAAAGTCAAATTTACTGTATACTAGGCTCAATTTCAGCAAGTGAAGCTACCCATTTTAGGGCCCATTGACAATTACACATGTTGTCCTGTTTTTTTCTACTCTCTTTTTGCACTGTAAGAAGCACGTGGAGGCCAGAGGGCTACGTGGGTGCAGGTGGACGTACATCAGCGTGTGTCTGTAGTCTCAAGAATAATGTTAATGAAACCCTCCTACGTGCTGGAATTTGATCAGTGAGTTGATAAATCACGTTTAAAATTAAACAGTAACGCTATTCATTTTCACTGAGATTAAATCCAATCTATGTAACAATTACATGACATTAAATGATAGATTCATTTAAGTATAAAGTCACATGACTCATTTAATTTAGTCTATCATTTAATGTCATATAATTGTTACATAAAATGGAGTTTAACTTTAGTGAAGATGAATAACATTATTCATTAAAGAAAATCTACATGTAGTATGATTGATAATCTCAAATTTTAAAAATTATCTTTCAACATTTTCAAAAGGAAAATTAAAGTTGAAGTCTTCAACTTTTATACAAGTGAACATCTAGATCTAGAATATATCGCGATCTCGAATCATTCTAAAAATTGTCATCATATTATCTTACATAAGCAAGGAGGATAATTCTTTGTGGGGAACTAGCTCGAGAGAGATCGTTAGATCCGTACTTATCGTAATTTTTCCTATAATTGTTCTTTTAAGTATTGAATTTTTTTTTGGACGAATTCTTATGAAAAGTTAAAGCTGGAATCCTCAATCTCTTACATGGGTTATTGCCTTATTGGCTATAATATTCAAAAGTGAGGTTCTTCACCTATCTAAATATGTAAATTAAGGTCCTCGCTTGATTGAAATCACAATTAGAATTATTCGTGAGTTAAAGTTAGAGAACAAAACCATCAAAAAACTTAACAATCATTTCCAATTTAACTGAAAGTCAAGCGCAATTCTAAACTTTGACCGTTCCTTCACGTAAAATTCTAAATTCACATTATATAGGTGCATAGTTAGCAACACTTGAGCTGGTGAAATATAATTTTTATTCACGTATTTAGCATGATCCATAAATACTAAATATTAATTATTTATGTCTTTAGTAGATTTCACTGCTTTTCAATGAAGAGTAAATCTAAGTGTACAAAATTGTGGTTGACAGAGGACTTACCAGTTACCACCTCTCACATGAGGTCGGTCCCACCTCATTAAAAAATGAACCAAAAAATTCCCACCCCCCTCCTTTGTGTCTGATCGGTGGGGGTTCGCCTCTATACACACAGCAGAGCCCTTCAATGAAATATGTTACCCCCTAACATGCTCTAGGTTAAGTACTCAGAATCTCACTTTTGAAATTTTCAAAATTTATAACCACATCACACTGGAAAATTTTCCCATTTCTTATAAATCGAGAAAAGAGGTACACTGTACAAAATAAAGTTGAAAAAATATTTATAGGGACCCCCTCTGACCCTGAAGAGTCTGTCTGATGTGGTTTGGACTGTGGTTGAGTGCCGACTTTTGGTACTGAAATATGAGCAATTTGAGTGAAATTGCCGCGCAGAGGACACACGCAAAGCCTGGTTTAAATGTGCATTTGCGGCCTGTCATTTCACTTTCACACACAGTCCCCACACATTGTTCGAATGATTACTCTCTTTTTTATAAACTCATCATTTCTGCCCTTGCCAGTTTTCTTTACCGTAAACAATTAAAGATTTGCTTGATGATCCATGTTTTGTAGATGTAGAAGAAGCGAATGCCAGAGAAGAATACTTCAGTTTTTGCAGATTTAGAGCAAAATGAACCAGCAAGAATTGCATCCAAAGAAACCCAAAGGTGGGTTCATTACCATGCCATTCATTATAGGTAAGGCCGAGTCTGAGCATACTGAACATGTCATTTCTTGAATTTCGGGGCCCAAATTTACTAAATCTTGTGATTTGTCTTTCTGGGTTGGCAGCAAATGAGGCATTTGAGAAGGTGGCAAGTTATGGGCTGTTACCCAATATGATATTTTATCTAATGAGAGTATACAATATGGGAGTCACAAGAGCTACCAATATAATCTTCTTGTGGTCTGCAGCTACAAATTTCATGCCCCTAATTGGAGCTTTTGTTGCAGATTCATTTCTGGGTCGGTTCTTAACCATTGGCCTTGGATCTATCGCCAGTCTTTTGGTAAACTCTATTCCTTTTTGTGAATTGTTATTCAATTCTGCTACTAGTATAGTATATTATTATTATTTATTGAAGTTTGTGTTATATATTTTTAAATTTTCTAAGTTGTATCTTAGTACAGTGATTCATTCAAGCCATTCATTGGTTATAGGAAAGTTGAAACTATGCTAAGGTTTCTATTAAAGGTAAATTTTGTTAGTAAAAAATTGGAAAAAAAAATGAATACGGGAAAACTGGTCGAGACTTATTAATCTTCAGCACAGCCAAACATACAATACAGATTCTAATGGCTCCTGCAGCAATCTGGTTTGAGATTAGTACCTTTAACTAACAATGTTGCATCGAAGTTTTTCAATTTTTTTTTTAATAAATTTATATAGAGAGAGAGCCACTTTTTCAGATTATTACAATGCTGCTATAGATTCTTTTCATTGAGTTAATGTTGTTTTATGTTCTTGGCCTGGGTAGCTTGTCCTTTTGAGCTGATGAAATTAATTCTTCTCGTGATTTCTTTCGGTCGAGCATTGAATTAATTTGATTTTATTCATGAATTAATGCTAAACTCCTGAATATTCGTATCAAAGACCTCGAGTGATCTCTTCAATGACTCTTTGGTACTTAAGTTAGCAAGGGAGAAATGCATTATCACATATGTAAAACTGTATAGGAACACGTACCTTTTGTGAGGTGGAGGCCCTACTTATACAGGTTGAGAGCATTAGACTCTCTGAATCTTGTCTCTATGTGATTGGAGTCAACTGAGACATTTTCTTAGGGCATGAAGATTCCTTTCTTTCCATCTAACAGAGGGTTGAGTCTTAGGAGAGACTTTAGTACGTTAAAGAGTCCCCTCGGAGTACCCTTCCATGATGCAGTCGTGCCCTCCTTGAGAACTCAATAAGTATACTTGCACACGTCTGTAATAAGTCGATCCCTAGAAGCATGATCTTCAGGTTGGCCACCGAGCACAATATCTTTTCAATAATAGGTTGGGATCCTTTGGTTTTTGCCTTGTCAATAATAGACTATTCACCAAACCAGGTGAAGGGATGTGTGCATTTCCATAATGCGTGATCATGAATGTGTCTCTAAAGAAAAAGACTTGCCTGAATGTTCTATTTCATTTATCAGGGGATGATCCTTCTATGGCTAACAGCTATGGTTTCCAAAGCAAGTCCTCCACCTTGTGATCAATTGGCCCACAGCTGTAAATTTGCCTCACCGGCACAATATGCTCTCCTGATTTCCTCATTTGGCCTTATATCCGTTGGTGCTGGTGGTATTAGGCCGTGCTCCTTAGCATTTGGAGCCGATCAGCTAGACAAAAGAGACAATCCCGACAATGATAGGGTGCTGGAAAGCTTCTTTAGTTGGTATTATGCTTCAGCAGCTGTTTCAGTTCTTATTGCTTTAACCGGCATTGTTTATATTCAAGATCACTTGGGATGGAAAATTGGTTTTGGAGTTCCTGCACTTCTCATGTTCGCCTCAACTCTACTCTTTTTCCTTGCATCTTCATTGTACGTCAAACAGAAAGCAAGCAAGAGCTTGTTTACTGGCTTTGCGCAGGTCCTTGTGGTCGCATACAAAAACAGAAAGCTAGCGCTTGCCCTGTATAACTCAAATCGTTATCATCACGAGAAAGGCTCTGAGTTTACCATGCCAACTGACAAGCTAAGGTACTATGATGAACTCCAAAAACATTAGTACTATTTAGTATCGAACGTTATCCATTCTAATCATTGTTCGTTTCTATTTTCCAGGTTCTTAAACAAGGCTTGTGTTATCAAGAATCCTGAAGATATATCTTCTTCCGGAGTTGTTTCGAACAGGTGGAATTTATGCACAATAGAACAAGTCGAGGAGTTAAAAGCACTTATAAGAGTCATCCCTATATGGTCTACTGGGATAATGGTATCAATAAATATAAGCCAAAGTTCATTTCCCTTGCTTCAAGCTAGCTCCATGGATAGACATATAACTTCAAGCTTTGAAATTCCAGCTGGCTCATTTGGGATGTTTACGATCATTACTATAACGATTTGGGTTGTTCTATATGATCGTGTAATTATACCACTGGCATCGAAAATTATTGGGAAGAAAGTACATCTTGGTGTGAAGTTAAGAATGGGAATCGGGATTTTCTTCTCATGTATGGCTATGGTAGTTTCTGGCATAGTGGAGCACGTTCGTAGGAGCAAGGCAATGGAGCAAGGATTATCAAACAATCCCCATGCAGTGGTAAACATGTCTGCTATGTGGCTTATACCTCAAAATATCTTAAGTGGACTAGCAGAGGCTTTTAACGCAATCGGCCAAACGGAATTCTATTATTCCGAGTTCCCGAAAAGCATGTCGAGCATTGCATCGTCGCTGTTCGGGGTTGGGATGGCGATAGCAAACTTGCTTGCAAGTGTTATACTCAGCTTTGTGGACAATCTTACCAGATCACAAAGGAAAGAGAGTTGGGTTTCTAGTAATATCAACAAGGGTCACTATGAGTATTACTATTGGCTTCTTGCAATTATGACTTTCATTAATTTGATTTATTTTCTTGTTTGTAGCTGGGCTTATGGATCTTGTGTTGGTAAGGTAGCAAAAACTAGTACTGAAGGAAATGAATTGGAGGAAAAATCCTCCGTACCAAGAACACCACTTGGGGTATCGATGTCTTAATTTCTATCTATGATCTTGATTGTGGTACTTGTAAAATTACATGTTTTTAGTCGTACATTTGGTTAATAGCGACTCCTTTTTATTTGAAAGAAGTGCAAAATTGTCGTGGTCTCAAACCTTTCATTTTGTTGCAGATTATACCTAAACCTTTTATTTTTGCGGTCGAAGTCCCAAACCTTTATATGTAGTTGCAGCGTCGGTCCCAATCCTTTATTTCTGTCCATAAAACCGTCGGTCAACATTTCAACAGTAATTTTGACTCGAAAAAATTGCAGCGCTGCTCCCAAACCTTTTATTTTGTTGCAGATTACACACAAACCTTTAAGTTTTGCAACCGAAGTCACAAACCTTTATATATAATTACAGCGT